TCATCCCCATTAAGCATAAAAGTCCAGAATAATTGGAAAGTTTTACATTTTAATTTGTGAAGTTTTCAGTGAGATATCCCTAGTAGTAAGGTGAGTTACCAGGTCTGGATACTCTCTTTACTACATCTAGGAATATATGTTTGTCTTTTGTGTAGGTCATTTAGCAAAAAGAATCAAGAATACTAAAAATGCTCAGAACACAAATGTGATTTCACTTTTAAGAAATCATCCAAAATGTTGCAGAGCAACAATGTTTATTTTTAGGTGAAAAATTCAACAAACCTAAGTGTCCTATAAGAAAATGACTAAATAAAGAATACTGTAGGTACAAGATGCGATATTACTGAGGTATTTACCTATGTGTTACTGGAGAGCATTTTTTCTAGTTCACTTGGAGGAATGCCTATGATAGGGCAGAGGAACATCCTACAGTTTGCTGAACAGACAGTTAAAAACCTGTTCAAAAGGTGAGGACAGGGCTCTTCCTGTTTCCTGTCAAACCACAATGTCATGCAATTTAGTTACATGTTATTTGGGTTTGTCAACACTGGCTCCAACCTGCACTAAAGCCATAAACCCAAGCATCAGTCCGTTAGCAAAGCCTGGCTCCTCAGATGCTGGGCTTGAGCACGGCCCTTCTTGGTTGGTGAATTACAACCAGTTGCTGCACTCGGTCCTCCAGTAGCCTGGCTTTCCTTCCTTCTGCATACCTCGGTCCCTCACTAGGATCTCTTTATTATTGAGCAACTAAAATGGCTTGCACATTTGGGGTCTCCAGCTCTGTGGCCACATGTTGGCATATGTATGCATATGTTGGTATAAAGTACTAGTCAGCTTGCATGAGCTACTTATTTTAGAGACTATATATATCTAGGGATATACGTCTATACTTCCCATATTTATGTTTGCTTTTCAAGGAAAATTTCCAAACTCTTTCTTTGATTTTACACTAAAGAAAAGTCAACTCCATGTTATTTTACTATTTCTTTCATATGCATTTTTTTTTCTCATTATGAAGTCATTAATAAAGAGGGGATTTTATTAATATGTAGCCTGCACAGCTGCTCTGAAAAGCCTTTCACTTTGTTTGGTTCAATTCCCTGCTATTCACTTTTTCACAAATCCCCCTCTATTTTCAGCAAAGTTTATAAGAATCTAGTATAATTATAGTTAAACACAGAATTTTTAAAATGATAAAATCATTTTCCTTAACCTGTGTTCCATAAAGAGACATTTACACTTCTCCTCTTTGTTTCAAAACAAAACATAAAACCTTAAATTAATTCCTTTCATCTAAATCAATTTACCTCATTGGCAAAACTGTCAAAAGTGTATAGGGATATATATTTTTTGATAAGTTCTACCTGATTCTCACAGAACTTGGAAGGGCGTAAGGCAACAACCCTCCCGTTTTACTGAAGAGAAAACAAAGTTTTAATTAACCTTAAAATAAAGGTTTATTCATTTAAAATCATACATAGCTTGATCAGTGTCACAAACGCTCAGTGAAAATAATAGGAATTTCCATGTTTCTGCCTGTTTCCTATGTCTGTTTTTCACTATTTTTTCCATTGCTTTGGCTGATCTTTATATCAAATGACTAGTTTGTTATCCTATTAAGTAGCATTCATGCCGTTCTAACTCTTATAAATAGATTCCCCATTAAATGGGGTAAGGGAAAACAAAATTAAAAATTCATATATTCATTTTAATCATAATGATGCAAAATTAATGGTTTAACTGGGAAACTGGGTTTTCCACAAAAGGACTGCAAAACCAAGTGGAATGTGCAAGGATTTAATTAGGAGAAATTGTGTGACCAAAAACCAAGTGTGTGGGGTGTTATGAGAGCTGGGAGAACTTGTAGGTCCAAAGAACAAGAAGTAGACAGATGAAGCATTTACACAGCTGTGTACTGTAAGGAATATTTGGCAAGTCTAGTGGGAGGTGTTAAGTCAAAGTGGGTCCTTAGAGTCTTGTGTCTCCTATGCCCTGCTTTGCTATTTCTGTTGCGCTCAGTCACTGAGTACAGTTCATGGTCCAAATGGGAGATGTATTTCAGAGTCCAGAAGCCAGGTCTCTTGGTCAATTAAACATTGAGCTGGACATCTGTGCATGTAGCCCTCCTAGTTTCTCTTATAAGAAAAAGTACATGATTTCAAAGATCTATTTATTTATGCATACAGAACTGGGGTAAAGGCCAGAGGTGCAGAGGCAGCGAGAGACTTCACCAGAGACAGAGTGGGGAGCAGAACAGGCATATCAACGAAGTACACTGCTGAGGAGAGCAGCAGGCACAGACCCTAACAATTTATTGAGTTCTGAAGCTGCCAGACATATCAAAGCATACATGCATCCACAAAAGTAAAACAAAAACAATTTGCAGAGTAGTAAGTTGGTTTCATGATGAGATGTAAGTACACAATCGCACAAAAATGTGGACAGCTTGCAGCTGTTATTACACAGAGGTACTTGGGATATAAGAGAAATCAACTCTCTTTGCTCAAACTTCAAAGATTTAATGAACCAGGTATAGCAACTCTTAACTTTTTTGTCTGAGTGGGAGGGAAGAAAGGAAAGTGCATTTATCAGGTCCTAGTTTTGTGCTATGAGCTATGATATGTTCATCTATATTAACTTGAAATATATAGCACTGTTTATGGTCTTCATGAATTGTCATAACACCTTGGGTAGAAAGAATTATTCCTGCTTTATGATGAAGTAGTGGGATTCAAAGAGGTTTGAAAGAATTCAAAGTTAGTTTGTCTAAGGTCACACAACTAGTAAATGATAGAACCAGAATGAATTTTAAGTCTGCTAATAGTGAAATACGGGGAGTAGGGTGTTCTTGGATGTCCTTTGCATATATATATTTTATTTTGAAGGAAGTTTCTTCCTAAAGCATCTTCAGTGGTTTAGTCTTCTGACTTTTGTACCTGATGTATTTTACACTGTCTCTTTGGATCAACTCCATCTCTTCACACTATGGAATCAATCTTCACCTTCTAAGGAGCGACAGGCAGGAGCTAAATATCCAGTCAGCATCCTCGTTGGTCTCAGGTATAGTACCAGAGCTGATATCCTTTTGGGTATCCCAGTTGTGCAAATGGTCCTCACCCTGGTGACCTGCCCGAGCTCCAGTCTGCATGCTTGCTCTGATTCTTCCAGCTTTTTGGAGGATTAGAGCCTTTCCCTGAAAGTGTGTCAATGTCTGGGTCCTTTCTAGAACCTCTGCTCAGGACTCTAATTCTTTCTGCCCTTTATTTCTAAATTTATATATTTCTCTCTTCTCTCAGTGTAACATCCTGAGTTCCTCGGCTTACAGTTTATGATTTTTGATCTCCGGGACCACTTTAAAGGGAACATGGACCTTATCTCAGCCACCACAAGTTTGCTCCCTACCTTGAACACAGGACAGGAAAGTTGTATACATGGTATGTGAATGCTTCTCAAGATGCTAATTTAATAAGTTATTGAAAGTCTAAGAAGTTATGTGTCATTGCTCTATGTGACCCTGTAGTGGCTAAATTGTATGAATATTTAATTTCCAACACTACTGACATGAGGAAATTACAGTTCTGGTTGACTGAACTTTTCAAAATAAGGTACAGTGACTCAGACATCTTTGTGGTCTCAGCTATCACCAATATCTGTTTGAATCTATGTATACACTAATTTTTTAAATCTATGTGTCTTAAAACCATTGAAGCATGACCTTGAAAAAATATCATCAGCCTTTGAGAGAAGAAAATCAACTTTTGTCGAATATCACAGATGTCACAAATCTGGATTTCTCATTGAAGTCTCAAATGGATGAAATTTTTTTCTAGTTTTAAAAAAATTTCTTTTTACATCATTCTTCATTCTGTATGTTTTTTCATCTTGGTTGCTATCCTTTGGACTTTCACTAGTTTTGATCCTATCCCCCACCCCGCCCCCGGAGAATGTCTCTGAATTATTGTTGTTTGTTGATTTTCATTTTTACTTTATAACAATTTTTTCCCCCGATCCCTTACATTCCTGCTATGAGTGAAACCATCCGGTATTTTCCTTTTTCTTTCTGTCTTACTTTGCTAAGAATGATCCCTCTCAGATCCATCCATGTTGCTGCAAATGGCATGAATTTATCTTCAAATGGAAGAATTTAATTGGTTTCTATGACCAGAGGATAAATTAATTAGTACAATTAGCCTGGAGAAAATAGTTTCATATCGAGCCTGAGCTATCTGACTTTGCGATTTCCTGCTTCTTCCTAAATTGTCTCTATTTGATTTAAATCAGAAAATAACTGCATGAAGAATTTGGAAATGGAAGTTTCCTTTAATTGATATTCAAGATATCTTGTAGCTTGAAACTTTATTATTTAGAGAGAACATGTAGCCAATATTAGCAATGATCTTGTTCCATTGATAATTATCTAGAGATTAAAAACATTTGCCCTTCCCACAGCTGTTGAGGAAGTGCTTCCTGTCACTCATTTTCTCCATAACATAAAGTAAATCTCCACTGGTTTAATGACAATAAGCATTTACATTTGACATGATTTGATGGTTGGGAAGAAATACTCAAATTCTTTCACATAAAAGAAGTTTCATAATCATAAGCTATCAAAAAGGGGAAAATATATGCTTGGAATCTTGCTTTGATTAAAATCTCAACCTAAAAATGGCAACAATTCAAATTTCTTTACAGTTTAATTGTTTGTTTCACTAAATTTTGAATGAGAAAAGCTTCAGTGCTGGCACAAAAGGTGGTAAGCGGAAGGAGAAGTCAAAGAAGGAGCTACTTTGCAGATCAGAGCGTTTGAAAGTGAACAGCCAATTTGACAAGAAGCAAAACCACAGAACAGTGTAGCAAGTCGCCTTTCTGTTCATGTTGTTTCACAAAACAATTCTGGCTCTTCCTACTGTCCTCTCTCTTTATTTCACAGATGTTGCTGTGGTTGGTAACCTGATCCAACCCCAAAGACCTCATGTGAGAAAGGGAAAACATATCTGAGTTTCCCAGTCCTGATATGCACAGGAAGTGAAGCCATCACCTGCCATGCTTGGAATTGGGAAACTGTTTTGGGTCCTCTTCCTAGACCGATACCTGGGTGTCTGGAGTACTCATGGTAAGGCACCTACAGATATTATTTCTTGTTTTTATTTCTCAAGGAGTGTTGGAGGCAATGTTTTCTCTTGTCAGTCTTGGTAGGATTGTGGATGATGGTAGATGAAACTGTGTCGTTAGCGTTGCTCACAGAGACTTTATAGAACATCGACCAAACTTAGAATGTGGTGATCAAGTCATAGTTTGGCCAATTTCCTTCAAATCACTTTCTTGTTGTAAGAATAGAGAGTGGGGTAAATATTATAGATAGTTAAGTATACACTTATCACAACTACTAGCAGAAATGTTCTGAATGCCATCTGATGGTGAATAAATAGTTAGTTCTTTTTCAGTTAAGGTGAGTGTGTGCATCAGCGTTTGGCTAGGTGGATGTCGAATGACTGGGGTTAAACCTGACTCTGTTTACTCTTCAATATGTTGCTAAATAAAACAGTGCTGCTTCCTTCAGTGGAATGTGCACCTTGAGAAAAATGAATTTAAAAGTGTTGAGAAGTAAAAGATTGCAGCATTCCATCATTATTTTATTGTGTTGAAAGAAGATGGGTGCTCTATGGAAGTCATTTGATGTATAAAAAGCTCAGGTTCTGCATGGATGATGTTTGGCCACTCCTGCAAGATTTTATGGAGGCAAAATAAGGCAATTTCTCCCTTCTGGTGTGTTCACTTGCCCCCTTACATTGACACAGGGACCCACAGATTGTGAAGAGGGATGGTCTATTAATAGTACAAGAAGTTTCTGATTTCTCGGGTTTGGTTTTAAATATCTTACTTTATTATCCCCACAAGCAGACATATCTTATCAGTTTGCATGCTGTGGTTTTAAATCAGAAACTGTAGTCACTGAAGTCCTAGAGAATGTCATCTTCATTTCTAGAATTGTGCTCTCTGCGATGCCAAGATGGCATACAACCAGGTGCAAAGAAAAGTCCCTTTCAGTACCTAGGCATTTTTATGTTTGTAAGAACTTGATATTGGTTTGATGAGGTGTTGAGAAGGCTGCCTGAATTTCACTTTCCATACAAGCCTACAAACAGAGCAACCACCAGAGTCAAACATTATTAAATACACTTCATATCAATTTGAGAAACAAATAGATTATTCTTGGTGGAATAAAGTGAAAGCTTTTATGGTGCTATTATCACACTGGAAGAGAAAAATATTCCTCCTCCCAACATGTTTACAGATTTTACCTTGTGTGTCAGACTTGGGTTTATTTGTTGGTGCTACCAGTTTGCCACTTACTATGTGAACTTGGGTAAGTTTCTTTCCTTTTTTTTTTTTTTTTTAATTGAGGTGACATTGGTTTACAACACTGTGTGTGACTTAGAGGTCTGGGCTCACACCTTCGGGTGCTGTCACCACACCATACCCACCATGCGAAGGTACCCACTGTCTTCCACTGTCTTCCACCTTTGCTCTTCCCCCTCCCTCCCTGGTTAAGTTTTGTATCTAAATTATGGCCAATACTTGTAAAGACTATAAGCAATGCCAATGGTACAGAGACTGGCATAGGAAGTATACATAATCAAGGCTTGATAAATGTTAATGGGAGGTGATTTTTTACATTATCATTTAAAATAGCTGAATTTGGGGCCCTCCCTGGTAGCACTGCAGGTTAAAGCACAGCACTAAGAAGCTAAAGCTACTTCGGCATGAGTTTGATCCCTGCCCCAGAGGTGACCACATGGCGTGGCAGACCTATCCTGGCCCACCTGCTGCTCCCCTCAGCAGTGTACTTCATCAATCTGCCAATTCTGCTCCCCACTCTGTCTCTGGTGAATCCTCTCACTGCCCCTGTACCTCTGGCCTGTACCCCAGTTCTGTATGCATAAATAAATCAATCTTAAAATAGCTGAATTTGAAAGCTAAAATTTAGTGGATACCAAAACATACTGTACAATACCTTTAGCTCCAAATAGAATGAGCTAAACTCTTTAGAAAGGGCATGAAGAGCCTGGGACAGAGAGCCAGCTGGGGATCTCATCTTGTGGTTGATGGACTGCGGCATAGCTCACGTTAAAAGAAAGACATGGGAGGAAATAGGGCAGATAAGAGAAATTGTTGTCTCAGAGCTGATGACGTTAAAGCCACATTCATTTTAACATTTAACATTTGTACCTAAAGTAAAGCCACATTCATTTTAACATTTATATTGTTTATATTTTAACATTTATATTTCCTATGACTAACTTAAATACTGAATCTTTACATTGACACAGTCTCCAGTGTTTAGAAATAATTTTTAAAGACCCCCCCCACTCCCCCAGCAATGTAGGATCTGTGTGCCTCTTCTGGAGTGAAGGCTGTGTCTATAATATGCTTTAAAAAATATATAATGTTTTCTGCAAACTTCCTGTGAAGGTCTTTATTTATAACAAAATTATACTTGCTTGTTTATGTATCTCAAAAAAAAAAAAATTAGAGGGGATTCTGTCCTTTGCAGTCTGGCCTATCGAGGAACAAAATGAAAGTACTGAAAGTGTTAGTGCCTTCCCTTCACAGACAGATGGACAGATCTTCCTGGCAAGGATGAGGCTGCAGGTGGAGACTCTGGTGAGTCATCTGCCACATAGTTGACCAGAGGCTCCAGCTGAGAAGACCTGAGCCACTTGCTGAGTGGAGGCTTAATTGAGGGTTCCTCCTTTAAGCCGGCTGGCACACTGCTGTAAATATCTGGGTGCTGCCTGGCTCACTACATATGACCCAGGGTAAAGGAGCAGGGAATCTCTGGATGGTCTGTTCACTGTGATAGAGAGTCTGCTGGGATCTTGTAGCAGAGACTAACAGCTTGGCTCCATTGAGAACACAGTGGCTTTGGCCAAGACTCCATTCAGGTCTCGCCTGTGTCCTCTTTGTCCTTGAGTGAGACGGTTCAGCTGGGCCTAGGAATCAGCACTGCACGTTCTCCACACACTCTTGCTCCACCATGATTTGGCCATATCTTTGGGTCAGAGCAGGAACAGTAGGGGAGCAGGTGCTGTGCAGCTAGCTGCCTAGCATTCCTTGAAGTTCTAGTTTTGTGGCTCTGGATGGGTCTTTATCAGACTTATTTCTATGTCTCTAACTATGTGTTCCTGTTGAATTATTCACAAATATGCTAGAGGGAGTACTTTTCCTTCTGCCAAAAGCTTGCATGTTTTATTCACAAAGATGCCCGCCACAAAATAGGGCTGTCTTTTACGTAAATGTCTAGGAATGCATTCTGTAACACAGGATTTCCTGGATCACTGAATGAAAAGATTAACCCCTGTAGTAATCACAGGCTTGAGCAGACTTTCCTGATACCGAGAAGCTCTGTAATTGTTGCTTTCTCTGTCTCACTATCAAAATTTCCTCTGTTTACAGTGAAATCCAAAGCTACTTATCTTGTTTCATTAATACTTTCCAACTTAATTGCCATTTTTGTGTGTTTCACCTTTACTTCAAGTTCAGAAGTGCTGAAAGAGAAATGTTCACAGGCATCTGTAATCAGGTGCCAAAATGCATTCAACCTTTTGCATTTTTTTCTTGCTGAGACAGTGTTTGGAGTGGTTAAGACCAGGGCTTCCAGAGCCAGGTGCCTGCCTTGCCGAGCCGTCTCTGCCTCTCACTGTAGCCATGACTACACCCTCTGTATGTTTCTTCAACTGTGACACAGGAACGGCAATGATGTCCTTCCAGAATTACTCTGAATATTAAGTGAATTAAGTCTGCACAGTGCTTAACACAATGTCTGATGGACCGTAAATGCTGTGTAAGTTCTCCAAATAATGCTATTTTTCTTGTTAGTCCAAATTTAATTATCTTGAGAGATGCCTCAAAGTAGTACTGGAAAGCCCTTCTCTCATTTGGGATTGATAAAAGTCACCTACAAATAACCCAAGATTCTATAGCTGCTGGTTAGTATGATTTAAGATTTTATCACTCATGCAGAAAAACATTTTTATGGGATCCCCTGCCTTTCCTCTCTCTACTGTATTTATTTACCTGATGTCTGTAGCAGTCATTATGAATTGCTGCCCGTAGCAGCAGGGAATGTTTGGGACAGAGGCTATTGGCAGACCTGTTTTCCATCTTGCCTCGGCCACCTCTGGGTCTTAGATCTTGAACAGTCATTCAATACTATCCAAACAAGTATTTATTGCAGTTTCTGAGACATTTCATAGTGCTAAGAAGTCTTCCTGTATGTTCTCAGTTATTTCCACAGCTATCCTGCCAGGTAAAAATTTGTGTTTAAGAGTTAGCCAAGCCTGGGTTCAAGTCTTAGCCTGGCTCATGTGCCACTAGTTGCTGGTGATCTTGAGCAAATGTCTTAGCTCCTCTACTACCTGGTGTCTTCAAATTACAGACAATAGTAGTAACTACCCCATAAAATGTGAGATTCAAATGAAACAGTATAATAAGGCAACTAAAAATGCACAGCACATAATGAGACTTCAAAAAACATTTTGCATCCCTATTTCTCTCCTGTTAGGGGCAACTAGCCTGGGTCAGTAGCACTTTGACAATGTGATATGTAGTGTTCTTGTGGGCAGTGGCAATGGATATGAGCCAGTGATTCCACAAATGTGACTTAGATGACCCATATGCTACCTGACCTGATTTTTACTAAAACTCTCTCTTGTTCTTTAATATCTCAAGAATTGGCACTGGTATTTTATAAGCTTAGCTAACATAGTAGAAGCTATGACAAATACTTGAATGATTGTTTCAAGACAAAACAATTTCAGAATTTTCCTAAGCTAAAACTCAAGAGATATAGGGCTTAAAGGACTAAACTGCTCCATATAATTTGATTGAAGATAGTCTCCCCTAAAGTAGTCATATTACAGACACTGTGAGAAACTGTAGCCCTAGAAAATTGCTTCTAACTGTGCTGAATAAATGCCATGTTAAAACAAATTCAAAATTTTCAACATTATAAGATTTTCAAGAGAAGATAGTAATAGAAGGTGAAACTCAATTTTCTCATTTCAAGATCACTGTTTTTTTTAAGTAAAAGGACTAAATATGGATTCACAC